CCCACGTCAAGAGAAGGAGCCAGTCACATGAAGAGGCTACGTAGGAGGGAACGGCAAGTGCTAAGGTGGTTTGAGGAATAGTAAGAAGGCCAGTGTGGCTGAAGCATGGTGAGTGAGGAGGGAGAGAGCATCACCATACTCCACCTATGCCACCCATTTAGGGTCTTGACTCTCTGGTATACTCTGGTACTTAATATATTTCATCTCATCTTTCTGTCTATCAATCCATCCATCCATCTATTCCACAAACATTTATTATACCAGACAATAGGTGGCACTAAGGAAGTTCACCGAATAGAAGGAGGAAGACCCATGGTCTAGGCAAAGAAAACCGCATGAGCCAAGGCCTGGAAAGGAAAACCTCACCACTTGGGCGGGGCCTCTTGGAAATGGTCTTGAATGCCAAGCCTCCAACCCAGTAGACAGTCCACCACGTTGAGAGAGCAGAACATCAGGAGACGTTGCTATGTGAAAAAAATTCTGGGATAAATCAGGTATAGTATTATACTATATTCTAATACAGCCAAGTGGTAGCAGGGATGAAAGGCTTAAGAAAAAGTGAGGGGAGAAACACTTAGAATTGAGACTATTCCATCAATTAGCTTAATTTTTTTCTGCCAACCAAGAAAAGACCATCATTAGTTACTATTAGTGATGGCCCAGCTTAGAGAGCACCTGTTTTCTGCTGAGCATCGCTGGTGTGGGCCAGAGGGAGCTGTTTCAGGGCCTCAATCAGGCAGTGACATGATGATATTTGTGCTTTGGAAAGGTCACCGTGGCTTCTGGGTAAAGGATGGACGGAGGGAAAGAGAGAGTGGCTATTAGGAGGCTGTTGGAGAAATGCACATGATGAGAACCATCATTTGGGCAGAGGAGGTGGAGACTGCAAATTCCTTGAAGGCAAGAGTTTTGCTGTTTCATCCCTTTTAGCAGTGCCTGGCAAGAGCTAGGCACAGCCGCTGCTAGAGTTTTAGAAATGCCCACTGCATTGAATTGTCTGGTATAAAAACCTAAGAGTCTAGACAAGCAAAACTACTGCCTTTCTCTGGAGTCTCTCTGCTTATCAGAGGCATCGTGGCTGAAGACAGAGCTAGGGAGTTTTCTGAGGTTGGAAATACTCAAGATTTTGAGGAGCGATTTGGGGAGAGAGAACACAAAGCTTCTGTTTCTTAAATCCGGCCAGAGTCTGCCTGTTATGTCAGGTCTGTGCAAATGAGACATTCATTAGGGTTGGGGGCTTTTGTGGCTCATCTTGATAAAAGAATGACCATCTGTCTTTCAGTAGGTGCTAGAAAGGCCAAAGTGAAAAGGTATCCATTTGAGACTGTTTAAACCCCTCTTCCACATGAGAGTGTGTTGCAGACACATCTGGATTCCCAAGCCACAGAATGAGAATCTTGAAAATGTGCTTGGAGAGTACCCGGTTCCCAGGACCACGCCCTCCTCATTGGAGTCTGCTGTGATGCCTTCCAGGGAGGGTCCAGCCCCCCTGAGCTGTGTCAGCAATAAGGCTGCTGGAACAAACCATGTTGCCCATTTTTGGAGCACTTATTATGAGGGCTTCACGAGCCCTACCTCATCTAAACTTCTTCACCAAAGGGCGAGTCTCGCACTGCTGACCCATTTTCTCTAACCACTGACCTGTCAGCTCCTGAAAACCTTCTTCTGCCCCTGCCATCGTCTGGCTTCAGCAGAGAAATTCCATGTTTATAGTTCTCTTCTGCACTGATTAAGATGACAAGAAGACAATGAAACACTTATCTCCAAAAGTGACTTCTTGGATCCATTGGCTAAATGTTAGAAAGTGGGTATGAAGCCCAAGAAACAGGACACCCAGGCTCTTTGAGCTTGGGGAGTATTACAGAATCCTATCCCAGGCCAAGAATGAGTCACAATGAAAGCTTTTAAAATATAAAACCATCAACCTAGATTTCAATTCCAAGGAAACACATACTTGGCCATGAGGGAATGCTTTAAAAAAAAAAAATCAGGCTTAAGCCACTTGACAGGAAAATAAAACAGCCAAGAAACATTCAAGTAAAATGATTTACATCCCCCCCACCCCAATCTCTTCCAATATGGGTCAGGATACATATGGACAAGATTGCCACCAGTGTGCATGACCTCTCCAGGGCTCCCTTCTTTTCACTTAACACTATTTCCCACACATAATCTCTTGCCTGTTCGCAGCCGGGTTATAGCTGCACGGTACTGCCTTTGGGTTGCTATGCCAATCTCATGGATTCTTCATGATTTTTTTTTTGCTCTTGGGCTCTTGGGTTGCTTGGAGTAGCTGTTTGGGGAATATGAGGATTTTTCTTCCATTATTTATGTGTGCAAGCACTGTTCATTTCTCTCAAAGAAATGGAAGCTTGATTGATTTCCTAAATGTAAGAACGAGATTGTCCTGCAATAAATATTTAAGGCTGACCAGGAAGGGCGACCACCATCTGCTGAAACACAAACCCAGGAATTACTTTGTTAAGCTTTCCAAGCGAAGGGAATAAATGAATAACCATCGTATATAATATCTGCTCACCACTGGATAGTTTACAAAGGTTTTCACTTATCTCATTTGATCTTCACAATAGCCCCGGAGAGGTAGACAGGGCACAGGTTACAGGATTATTAAAACCCCGCACTTTTTCTTTTTGAACAGGTAAGGGCTCTAAAGGCTTAAAGTCACTTGAGGGAGGTCAGAGAGTTTGGGGACTAAATCTCGGGTCTCTAATTCATTTATGCACATATTTCAAAAACATTTATCCAGAGACTATTCCAAGCTAGATGAAATGGCAGTGGGTACAAAGATGAATAAAACACGGTCCCTGCGTAGGAGGAAGATCACGTTCTAGCCTGGAGGAGAGAGCCAGGAGAAGTAAACAAGTCCCTGCTTTGCAAGGTGATGAGTGCTCTGGAGAAAAGAACACAGTGCGACCACGTTTCTAATCTGATGTTCTCACCGAAAACCGGCTCAGCTGTTATTTACAAAATCTGTCCTCCGAAGGGGGAGTTGGGGGGCTGAGCCGTGTGTCTGCGGTCAGAGCTCGCTGGGGGGATCTGAGGTGGTGTGGGGACACGGTTCACCCTCATTCGGTAAACATGCAAATATTTCCCGGGGTGCCGAGCTAAGCCTGGGGGTCCACACCCGGGCTCCCCGAAATTCCCTCCACGAGATAACAGAGGGTCCCTGCCTTTAGAGCGACGTCTTCATCCCGCCGCAGCCTCTAGCTCGGGAAAGACCGGCTGCTCGTTGTCTGCGGTTACACGCGGCGGCGAGACAGGCTGCGAGGTTTTGTCTCGCCCGAGCATGGTCCACGGCCGGGAAAAGTCGGCGAGCTAGCGCTCCTTCTCTGCGCATCGCCCTCTCCCACCGCCCCGGCTCTGGAAGCCACAGCCCCTTCCTCGAAATGAACGCGCCAGCTCGGTTCTCTGGCTCTCTCCTTTCTTTTTCTTTTATTTTATGCATTGTGTTATTTCCTCTAAAGATATTTTTAACGTTAATTTTTAGTTACACAACTGACGCATGGAAACATTCTCCTTTAGAAAAAGAAATATACATATAGATATATAGAGATCTATCTATCTATCTATCTCCTGGGTCGCCAGCAATTGGCCGAGGTCCCCGCTGGTGCGGCTGTCTGAGCAGCGCCGCTGTCTCCGCGCCACCCGGGCGCCGTTGGTGAGCGCCGACACCGGCTTTCTGTTTCTCCTTTTGCTTTACCCCTCTTTGCAAGCCCAGCGCTTTGCACGCGGGAAACGCTCGAAAAAGACACACGTGTGTGTAAAGTTTGTTTAATGCAAGAACAAACGCAGGGATGAGGGCCCGCTCCCGGGTTTCGGGGCGATTTTCCTTTGTTAGGACCGCACACCCGAGCCCTGCCCGGCAGCCCCGCAGTGATCTCGGCTCCCCGGGGGAAGGGAAGCGGGTCCTGCCCAGGCCCCGGGACCCGGGCTCCGGGGAGGCACGGCAGCCGGGCTCCGCGACCCCAACCTGCACCGGCGAGCGCGCCCAGCCCAGGCCGCTCCCGGCTCGGGCCTTGGTCTCGGGGTGCCCGTGGGGTGGCCTGGGTTCGGGAGCCCAGCGGGACACGGGCCTCCCTCCAGGGGCGGCCGCCTGGCCCCTGCTCGCGCGCTCGGGCTCGGGCGGCTGGAGCCCAACGCAGCCCCTAGCAGCCCCTGCCCGAACGAATGCTCGGATCCGGGCCCTGGGCGACGTGGTGGGGTCGCCGGCCGCCCCCGGCCAGGTCTGAGCGCGGGAAAGCGGGGCGCGGGGCCGGGGCCAGGCCCAGCCCCTGGCGCGCTGGCCCGCTCGGCAGGAAAAAGTTGTCGAGGGGGAGGGCCGTCAAAGTTTCGGGAACTTTTCCACTTGAGATTCCACAACCCTGCAGTGCCCCCTACAGAAAGCGGCCGCCGGGGAGGGCGGGCGCCCCTGCGACCCCGACTGCCGGCGGCGGCGCGGCCCAGCAGGCCTGGAGCGCCTGCTTTTGCTTTTTTTTTTTTCCCCCTGGTTGTTTTTCGGATACATCTTTTTTTCAGAATTGAAAAAAAGCGAGCGCGAGCCGCCGCCTGCAGTGGAGCGTGCTCGGCCTCCAGAGGCAGTCGTCTCCAACTTTTGCTCTCCCGCCCCAACTCCGCGCGCGCCTCAAACTTCGGCTCTGCTGGAGCCCAAACTTGCCTGCCGCGCAACTCCACTCTAATGTGCGCGCCAAGGCTTCTGGCCGCGGTGGGCAGCCTGGGGGCCACCCTGCCGAGGCCCAGGCCTGCCCGCTCGCCCGCTCGCCGCGCCTGGGCCCAGCTGGGGAAGGGGAACCCGAGCACCCGGGAGAGGGCGGAGCGCTCCCGCGCCCCGGGGCACGGGGGCAGGGAGCTCCCGCGCCCGGAACGTTGCAAGCAAGGCTTGCTAACGTCGCAGGGGGGCACTCGCGAGAGACGGACAGGAAGAGGGCCAGGGGGGACGCCAGAACCCGGGACCACAGCACGGAAACGGCCCGGGGCTGAGCTGCAGTCAGATCCGGGGATGGAGGGAGCCGGAGAAGAGGAGTGAGGAGGCCGGGGAGGCAGGCCCTGCTGCCCTCCTGGAGGCTGGCAGCCTGCTGTGGCAGTGGAGGCGCAGGCCTCCCAGCAAGGGAAGGGGTCAGGAGGTCGGGCCCGGCCTTAGCAGGCTCAGACAAGGCCCAAGAAGGGAGCACCAGGCCCTCTGGAGTTCAGGGCCCAGGCCTGGTTCGCTTGTCCAGAGGGGACCTAGGCCAGGCCTCTAGTGGAGACACAGTCAGAGCCAGAGCAAGGCCTCAGGGCGCGGCCTAGCCGCCTGTGAGCCAAGTTAGGGGTAGGGAGCAAGAACCCTTAGGGGTCTCAGAGACTAAGGCGGGTAGGGGGCTTCAGGGCCTCCCAGTCCACAGCCGGATTGGCGAGTTAGACGCTTGTAGATCCAAGGTTGGATTGGGGTGGGGTCTCTGGGACGTTGGCTAACTGTGCAAGGATTGGGGGGATTTAAGTGCTTAGAGATCGAAGGCAGGCCTTGGGTAGGGGGAGTCAGACAATTGGAAAGCCTAGGTGGTTATTTGGGGAGGGGTCTTTGCGCCTTGGCGAAGCGCAAAGCTGCAACTGCTTGGCTTGAGGCCTGAGGCCTTGTCAAGGGAGGCTTGTGTGCAGGGTGGGCCGACTAGGCCAGGCTAAGGGAAAGAAAGTGAATCAATCTGGAATATAAGTGGGCGGGGGGCCCCTGAGAGGGGTGTCACAAGAGGTGAGACATGGCCACCAGGCGTTTAACCGACGCTTTCTTGTTGTTGCGGAATAATTCCATCCAAAACCGGCAGCTGTTAGCCGAGCAAGTGAGTAGTCACACCACCTCCAGCCCTCTGCATTCACGTAGCATTGCTGCGGTGAGTCTCCCGGCGGCCTCTCCGACACACGCACCGTGTGCACTGCGGCTCTGCCTGTCTGTCTGTCTCTGTCTGTCTCTCTGTTTGAAAAAAGGAGATAAGAATAATAAGACTAAGAGTAATACGGAAATGCAAGGTCCGGGGCATCTATGACCCTGGATGGGGAAAAAAACCAGTTTTAGGCCCCTGCTCCACCTCTGCCTGTGCTCGCTCTCTCTCTTCACTTCCGCAACCCTCCCCATTCCTCACCCCCCCCCCGCCCCCCCTCCCCGTCGTCACGACCGGCCGCCTTCAATTTACATATGTTTTAACACTAAGATTTGGAAGCGCTGAGCCTTGCCGAAGCCTTTTTGTCTCTTTTTGTTCTAAACCTCCCTCCCTCCCCCCCGCCCCCCCCCCACCTCTTACCGGCCTCACTTTGGTCCCGATGGCCGAGTTGCTGGATCGAAGACCCAAATCCTTGCAAATGAAAGACTCCCCCAAATGAGGAAGGAGTTGTTGTTGTTTTTCCGCCCGTTTTCTTTTAATGGCCTCGCAGCCCTCTGTGTGGCCGTGTTGTCTCTGAATAATTGCTTCCCTGTTTTTCCTGGGGGCTCTGTTTGTGAGACTGTAAGGTGCTAGGTTCTTCGTTTTCCATATCTCAGACAGGAAATTAAGCTTTTCCCTCCATTCGAACTTTAAAAAGAAAACCTGTGTGTGTATGTGAAAAATAACCCCCTAAATAGCCTAGGTTTTTTGATTTAATTAACCTGGACCTTTCTTTAGCCCAGCAGTACAATCTTTTATAGGGAAAGCCTGGAGAGATTACTGATGTTTTGTTGTTTTTATGAGGGCTGCCTTCCCTTTCTGAACCTCAGTTTCTTGCTCTGTTAGATAAGGGAGTGGGTCTGGATTATCCATACAAGACAATGATGATTAGCTCCGTAATATCTTAAATTGAAAATTGAAGTTATGAAACTAGTTTGTGGTCTGGGGCTGTAGACAGGCTGGGTTTGAAGAGAAGCAGCGTTAGAGGATAAGGGAATCAAGTCACCCCAAGACCACATTCTTAGGGATTGTACTTGAAATATACAGCTTTGGGAATCTCACACTTATTTCGCCTCTTAAGGGCTGTATTGCCTTTTACTTTTTGTCTTATGACCTTATGTAAATGCCTCAGAAAAATTATGCCATGTGTGTTAATTATTGACAGGGCATCTGCAAAGACAGTTTTTCCTTTTTGTAAATCACAAGTGGAAAATGTCTTTGGCCGTATTGCTCCTATAGAAAACCTATTTTAATCCGTGTGAGCAGTTTTAGGGAAAAAATCACATAAACTCAGTCAAAAAGCATAGAAAACAAAACAGGAATGGAGTATGTTTAGTTTTTTGTTTACTTAAGAACTTGAAGGTTTTTTGCATTTGTAAACTGAAAAAGATGGTATTATATTGAAATGAGTGTAAAATGGAAACGGGCTAATTCCCGTTTAAACAGTACTAATTTTGAAAAGAATATTCTGAAATAAACCAAGAATTAGAGAATAGAAATTGAATAAATAAAATTCCTCAGTGGAACTTTAGTTTTGTTAAATAAGATGTAAAAATTGCATGTTCCTTAATGGCTTGATTTTATGCTACCTCGAGGGGGAAAAAAAAACAGAACTAAAATTCCCGTTAATGTTTCTGAGGTATCATTTTTAGTTGATTGGAAAACGTATTGTTTGCTTTTAAATTTTTAATCGTATAAGGTTCAGAACACCCTGAACTGTTGGGTAACATGAGATTTTTTTATTATTATTGTTAATAATTAAGTCAGGCAGTTTAAAAACCTGGTGTCTGAGACAGGCAGCTTTTTAACAGTGCATCTCTAAGTCAAACCGATTTTTAAAATAGTTTTCTAAGTTAGGCAATTAAAAAAATATATAAGCTAAGTCAAATAATTAAAAATGAGTAGCTAGAGTGTACAGTTTGGAAAAATAGATATGTCAGAAAATGTACAGGTATATTTAGGTAAGCCAGACAATTTCTTGAAAACAGATTTCTAAATCAAACTAAAAATACATGTCTAAGTCAGAACATTAAAACATATTTTCTGTATGTCACACCATTTAAAATGTTGCAACTTACATTAGTCTATTTAAAATCTTTTTTAGATCATTATAAGCAATCAGATCATTTAAAATATCCTTGCAATCAATTCAGACCGTCTAAAAAATAGATTTTGCAATTAAACAAAAATAGTTTACCTAAGTCAGAATTTAAAAAAGAAAACACACATTCATATATTTTAATTGTGTGCATTAAAAAACACATGGCATATCAAATTTCTGAAGTGTTTAGGGGTGAAGTATTTTATCTTCAATTTGCTTACAATTGCTTCTACAGAAACTATTTACACACACACACACACACACTCAAATATTGGAAGATGTAAACATGACTAAGTAAATGATACAATTTTTTCAGCTTTTCTGAAAGTAAGAAAAGTGTTACAAACATTTTGGGGAAAAAACCCATGTCTAACACGATTTTTAAAAACTTCATTGAATAACTCATACAATGTTTTTCACTGCATATCTAGCTCTAGAAATTTTAAAACCTTATTTCTAACTTGTAAATTTCAAACCTGTGTAGCAAATCAAACACAACTGTAGCTGTCAATATGGACTGGGTTTTAGGTGATATTAACAAGTTATTACTTAATTAAACTAATTATAATTAATTAAATTTGTTAATAATTAGAAAGGGTTACTGAAACATTTAGTAATGTCAAAATATCACTTATTTCATATACTTAACGCCCCCAAAAGGAAACAAAATAAGGCAAAGTGTTACTAATTGTTAAATGTCCTGATGAATATGTGGGGGGATGTTTAACATTTTACATACTTTTTGGTATGTTTGAAAAATTATAAATAAAAACTTAAAAGATATATACCTGTCATGTTCAAAACATGAGTAAAACAATTAAAAGGAGACAATTTGTAAATATTTATCTAAAAGTCAGGTAATTAAAAAGGAAGTAAATTAAAGTTTACCTTAACTTAAAAAATCATAACCTGAATTTCTAGGTCCTGGTTAGAAGAAAAAGCTGTAGAAGTTGATTTTGGTGTGTGTATTTGTTATCTCACACACAACAAAAAATAAATCACATCTAAAGTAATAGATTTTATCTTTTTTTTTAGGTTAAACCAGAATTTTCATGTCCTTGTTTAAGGAAAAAGCTGTGGAATTTGACTGTAAAGTGGTGTGTGTGTGTATGTATCTCACACACCTCAAAACAAAGCATACCTAAAGCCAAATCATTCAAAAAATTTAAACCTGCATTTTTTGCATCCTAAGTTTGAGGAAGAAACTAGAAGTTGATTGATGGTGATAGGTTATTGTATGTACCTATACATTCCTGCTAAAACAGGTTTGTGCAGCATTCAGGCAAATATGTCACAGCGAAGCAGGAATTTAAGGAGGACGTGCCATGACAAAACAAACAAAAAGTCCCAAGGGCCAGAGGGGACCTAAAGGTCACTTGGCCCAACATCCTCATCTGTGATAACCCCTATGCCTGCCTTCCTTGACCACGGTTTGCGATGGCGATAGGAAATTCCAGCAGCCTGTCATTCCACCTCTCATACGACCAAAAACGTCTTTGCCTGTATTAACCCTAACTATGTCTGTATCTTGCGTCCTGTGACCCTACCTCTGGTTCTGGCCCTCAGGGTCTCTGACACAGGAAGCTCCTTCTTGCTTCTGCATGATAACCCAGCAGCCGCCTTCTTCCCGGCGCTTTCTGTAGCTCAGCAGTCCAGCTCAGACAGCGTGGTTAAGTTTCTTGCCTATGAACGAAGTCAGGTTTTTCTGTATTCTTTTTAAAGTTCAGCACCCAGAACTGAACAAAATTCTACTTGTGTTTTTGGTTATGTGGATATTAGTGAAACTAATTGTCAAGAACAGACTGGAGTTTGATTTTTAGACTGTCATCAAGATGCAGTTATTGGCATTATTCATTCTGTTTTGACCTCAGTTTTTGATGCCCCATCGCAGTTATGCCGTAGGGCAGTGTGAAATAAAGGAAAGAGCATTGGACCCTAAGTCTGGAAATTTAGGGCTAAGTCTCGCTATGCGGCTGACTCAGAATGTGTCTTTAGGCAAGCTTTTAATCTCTTCCAACACCTTTTGCCTCATCTGTAAATTGAGGGGTTTGAGTTAGGTGATTTCTAGTGGCCCTGTGGATTCAAAAGTGCTTTCTCAAGTTCTGATTTAATACATTGTTTCTTCTGACCAAGGCACACAGCCTTAGCTTTAATTTGAAAAGGAGAAACAGATAGTTAACAACATTGCTGTGCCTGTTAGCCCACTGTTCCGGGCAAAAATCCTTAGAAATAGCCCCAATATGCAAAAGTAACTTTGACGTTACATCAGCCAAGTACAGGTTTTAAGGCAGCACTCATTCAAACAGTTACAGGCAGCTTGACATTAAGAAGCTGAAATGAATTTACAAAGCTAAAGCATTCTTAAAAAATGTGTCTCTTAAATGAATGAAAGTAGATGTTGAGTTGCTGTTCTCATCTGATGAGGTGCTGTATGACTTGTGTGATTACCTTTGGTCTCAGGGAATGGATCTAATAAAGGGTGGGAGCCACTTCGTTAGTGTTTACTGCCTAATCTAGTCTCTGCTTTAAAACAACACAATTTAAAAATGGAAGCTAGAGTTAATTGGTCTTAGATTAGTTTGAAACTAGCACATTATTTTTAATAAACTATGTTGTGCTTTAGGAAAAGAAAACTAAGGTTTAGCTGGGATTATAAGAAGGCTGGGGTGCTTCTTGAGTCTTGACTATAACATCAGCTAAGATTTATGGAGAGCTTCCTCTGTGCCTGGCACTGCTCTAAGCCCATTCCATATGCCACCTTATTTCATCCTCACAGAGCTCTGTCAACTAGGTGCTGTTCTTTTCATGATACAGATAGAGAAACTAAGGTTTAGAGGAGTTAAGAAACTTGCCCAGTGTCGCCCACCTCGTGAGCCAGGGAGTTGGATGGGAACTCAGGCAAACCTGGCTCCAGAGCCCTGTGCTAAGCTACTGGGCCACATGAGTGCTGGCTGCTTTTCCAGGACTTGTGCTGCAGGTCCTGGAAAATGGAAAGACCCATTGTTTAAAAAATTTTTTTCGTGCACTAGGATAGCATCTTTCTTTATCTCACTTTACAACTATACGCAGTCACTTTTAACTTGCATATTGAAAGTTTTAAGTTTTAGTCCAGGCTGAGTCTGTTGGAAAATTAGTTCTCTGTCTTTAGAATCCAAGTATGAAATCATTGTATATTTCTCTTTAGATCTATTTGCTTTTCTATTTCTAAAGATTCCATTGGAGCAGTGAGGCTTACTCGAGAATAAGGGTACTTTGTTGGATAAAGGTGAAGCAAACTTTTATTTTGGCAGTAACGGAAATAAAGTAAATATCACTATAGCATAGACCTGTATTTCCAACTCATTTTGCTCAACTTTTCCAGACTTCCTGAGTAAACACAGATGGGTTTCCACTTATTTTTCAGTTTTATGTAGAAAGTTCTTTAGACTATAAATTCCACATGCTACTTGGAGTTTTCACTATTTGCTTGATTGTGTGCCATTGGGGCAGGTCAGAAACCTCGATTTAGACATTATGAAGATTTAGAAGGTGGTGATGTGTAGTAACGTGTTTTCATTTGGCTATGTTTTGGTTTTTCCTGATGGTAATTCTAAATGTTTTGATTCACGTCTTGACAAAATTTTCTGGTAATTTGGTGGCAGGGGGAGTTTTGAAAACATGTTTTTAAGTAGCAAAGTGGAAGGGGGCGCTCTTCGAAAAGATGAACTTGTGAATTTAATTCCTGATGTGGTGTGGTGGTGGCTGTGTATCACTAGCAATTCCCCAAGTTGTTAATAAAATTAGAGAAGCTGGAAGGGAGGCTGGAAGGAGGCCTGAACACCTGGGTCTGTCTCCATCCCAGCCATTAACAAGTTCTGTGACTTTGGGGAAGTGGATCCATACATTCTGAAGCTTGGTGTTCTTATCTGTAAAAAAAAAAAAAAAAAAAAAAAAAAAAAAAAAAAGTGACATCTAACCCATGATTCTGATTTCGCCTCTTAACAACTAATAATTGTAGAAACCAAAACATCGGGATGTGTGCTTGGTTAATAATCCAGGAGGACAGGCTCACGTGTAGCAGAGAGCTTCACCCTGGTGTGCAGTAATACTTTGTTCAAAGATTAGATGCCAAGGAGCCGCTGTAGAACCGGCTGATGTGCAGATTCAGATGCTGAAGTTAGGGGGTTGCCTTGTGTCTTGTTTTAATAATAAAAACACTCTGGTGCTTTCTTGCTGAAAATGTTAAACTTTTAAAAAATAGAAATGTTTTTCTTTTTTAAAGTAAAAGGTAATTAAATCAGATTTCCATTTGACACTATCTTTTCTATATCTTCTTATACTACTATAGCAGGGTGTATGTATATAAATATAGTTCTCTTTTGCTCTCATTGTAAACTGTAGAAGGAATGAAGAGGATTCAGTTTTCTGTAATGTCTCCGTGGAGGAATGTTATTTAATTACATTTTTATTGCTGTCATTGTTTAATAATATTTTGGCCCTGATAGACTAGTTTCATTTGCACTATTAATTTTTAAATAAGGAAGTTATGTTTTTTATTTTCTAAATTTACTGCTGAGCATAAAAAATCAACACTGTCGATTATTGAAATTCACCACTAATTATTTCAGTGATCAATACTGTAAAAAAAAGACCTAGTTGTTTAGATTACCTATCATTAGTAAATGTCTGTCCGGAAGCTAGAGTTCCACATTGATCTAAAAAAGACCCTTCAGTTTTAAATGGAAACTTAATCCTTAGGGCTGCAGGTGCTTCCTCCTTCCTACTCCCCCTTTAAAACTCTCTCCTTACCTTTTGTTTTGTTTTGTTTATTTGCTTTTATAATCACTTCATAAATAACTGTGTGCTTTCTAGACTAGTAATAATATATGCCAAGCAAATGGGAAGCGTTTTTTTTTCCTTTAACACCTGTGTCTCTCTCCGGGGAAGAGGGGTTTCTCGGCTTGCTTGTTAGCACGGATGGAGCCAGCTCTGCGGGATTGAATTTGTGCAGACCTTACATATGTGGTCACTCACGTGCTGTCTGAACACAGCCATAGACAGTTTTTGTGGACTGTTCACTTTCTAATTCTGCTGCATTTGCAGGGCTGATTTACATGTTAAAATTTTACATTTATTCGACATGGTAAAATTACATTTTAGCTTTGGCTCTCTTATTTAATCTTTCTAAGGGAAATTTAGAATATTGTGTGTGATATTTGATATTTATGAAACAGGTAGCATTATATTTTCGTGAAACTAATCAAGTGTGTTTTATTTGTTTCTATTGTATTTTAATTTTTGCAACTATTTGTTTTCTATCTCTTTTACCAAAGCAACAATCACAGTAAATAAAAATTTAAAAAAATGTATTGATGTAGCTTTTTTTAAAAAAAAGGAAGAATCAGAAGGGGGAGATTTTTTAAATGCCTTGTTTAGTGGATCTTTATTTTTAGTTAACTTTAGAGTTGCTTAAAATTTCAGTGTTTTCTCGACTGACCGTACTTTGTCTGTCTGTCTGTCCCCAACCTTCTTTCTTTTTGCTATCCCTAACTGGATGGGACTGATGGGAACAACATATCTCTTCAGGAGCTGGATGAGGTATTGTGTTTTGAATATTTTTGTATGTTCGTTTATAGAATTATCCCTGTTTTTCTGAAGTCAATGGTCATATATAAAATGCCAACAGAGTTTACACATGTTGTAGCATTTGTTTTGATTACTTGTAATTATCGTGCTTAACAATTTAGTATTTAGGATTTATTTAATATATTGTCATACCAGGTGAATTGATGATTTAAAGGAGGGTTTAGGAACATTATTTACTATTCTTGGGAGAGTGTCTCAACTTTGGAAGCAGTAAAGGTTGAACATTTTCTTGAACTTAAAATAAGCCAGATTGTTTTTAGGATTATGTGTGTAACTCTTGATTTCTGAGAAGTGTGTGGTGAGGTTGCTCAGGTGGAATGTAGAAGGACGTGATGTCTGGTGACAGCCCTAAGGAAGTATGACTTCGAGCCACTGGACCTGTTGAGGGGTCTTCACAGTCCCTATGTTTGGAATGAAGTGAGTGACCCTCATTTGTGCTGACCAAGCTACTCATCACATGGTCCCTTTCTGCCTCCTTCCCAGCAGCACACCCTTAGCCTTTTCATTACTTGGTAGCAATTTGCCCAGAAGATGGAGAGAGTACATATTCATAGCACTGTTTCTAGTAGTGCTAATAAAGGGGTTGAGGAAAAAGGAGAGTGAACTGTGATTGTTAATTTTGTGTGTTTCTATTGTCTGTTTCAGTGATGAAGGGGTAAAAATATTTTTCCTGAGGGTAGACCTTTTAAAAAGAATAAGTGGGGGAGTTTTTTTGTTTCTGTTTGTTTTAATTATGAGTATGAACAGTGAGATGGGATTAGGGTCACTATCTTCAAAACTCAGGGGGTTCCTAACTAGTAGATTGAGATCTCCCTGTAAGTTCTTGAAACCTTAACCAGTTAATAATAACCAGATGGGGAACAACCTAAACACCCTTCGCTGAGAATTGGCTAAACCAGTTGGAGAGCATCTTTGATTCTCTGCAGCGGTTAAGAAGCGCAGTTCCCCTATGAAGGCTGCGCTGCGATGAGCTCCCGGACACGTCGCTCAGTGAAGGAGCCTGATGCAAAACAATGTGGACAGTGTGATTCCCGTGCCTTTTTTTTTTTTTTTTAAAGAAAACTAACATTAATGCTTATATACTTAAAAAAATTTCTAAAAAGAGGCACAAGGAACTGTTAACAGTGGATACCTTCCAGGAAAAGTCTGGGATGGAAGACAAACTTCCTTTTTATTGCAAACCCTTTTCTTAGGTTGGATATATATTTTTAAACCAGGTGCATGTATTACTTTTGTCATTAAAAAACAATTAGTATTTAAAAACAAACCCTTAGCTGGTAGCTCATTGAGTCAGGTGCCATGGCCAGGTCTGACTCAGGAACCTCCTTGCCAGCACCCGGCCTGGGCACTGGGCCCTGGAGAGATGAGAAGTCACTTCAGTTCCCACACAACGAAGTTAAGGATCTCTGAGGCACAGCAGACGTGAGGTTTGCTGAGCAGATTCTAAAAGTGATAAGGCGTGGGGGCTTAGAGAGTAGGCCTTTTAGAATAGATGTTACCCCTTACTGAACAGTTTGGAACTTGTGGCCTCAAAAAGGAAGTGTATGGTGAGGGAAAAATAACAAACAATAGAACAACGTAGATTGAAGAAGCATTTGAATAGTTTTCACACAGGGAGCACGTCAGCAGTCACGTTTACTTAGGGGTCTGCCATCTGAACTGATTTCTGGTCTCTCCGACTTCCTCTTCTGGCAGCAAGTTCCAGAAACTGGCTACTCAGTGTGGGAACTGGCAGGCCCTTTTGCTTTTCTTATTCTTAGCTTCTGGATGTTTAAAGAGGGTCTCCACTTTCTGTTACCAGAGCTCCTGAGTGGAGAGCCACTGTCTTCACCACACACACCTCATATGCTGTTTGAATGCCCTGAGCTCAAAGTCCCAGTCTTTCCTTTCTGGCTTCGCACGGCCGCTTCATCCCCCTGACCAGTTCACTTGCCCCTTCTTGTCCTTTGTCCAGAACCATTATATCTTTTATGAAGTGTAGCTTCCAGAATTGTACATGACATGTGTTTTATTTACTTCATTCATTCATTCCGTCCATTTGTTGTTGACTCATTCAGCTAATTACAATTGTACATTTATTACTCCTAAGTGCCAAGGGCTGAGCTGGGAGCTGGGGATGTATGGGGAATGGTATTCAGAACCTTGCTTTGCCAAGGTTGCACTTCGCCTTCAAATCTGTGTCTTCTGGGAATAGTACAAGTGACCCCTAGCTCCTGGCCTGGGTTAGTTGGAAGCCCACCCCTTTGTAGGTGAGGCCTGAGCAAAGTCCTGACTGCATCACTTGGGCCTCCCAGAGTATAGCCATCTCGTGGCTTCCTGTGGTCTGTCCACATCAGTCTGTCATTCTCCTACTCAAACCAACTCTAAAATCTGCACCCTGGGGCTACCATTCTTCATTCTTCTCCAGAAACACTAAGGTGTCCCTGAGGAGGAAGCCCACCCACCATTCCTTCTCTACGCAGAGAACTGTCTGCCGCTTTCCTTTGTTCCCTGTGCTAGTCTACTTCCCTCCTATGACAGAGTCATCTCCTAAGTTGTTGGGTTTTTAAAATTCATAATAGGAAGTATTAAAAAATTACAAAATGTAAATGTCAAGCTCCCAAACCTTATAGCCTGGGGAGGGCAGGGCGATAGAGTGGGGACATGGAGGGCCACAGGCTAAGGGCGGCTTTGAGAAAGTCTCTGAACTCAGCTGGGCCTTAGTGTCCATATTTGTGACGCAGGGAGCAATCCCCTCTGAAGGTTTGTTGTTGGGTCTAAAAAGATCAAACCAGTGGGAGTACAGCCCTGGCAGAATGCAGGTCATTATTGCCCCCTACTTGTTTATTATATATCAGTTGAGAAAAAAGGAAAATCAGTGAAACTAGCAACATTCATCTGGGTGGTGTGACTCTCAGATTTTTTTATTTCTGTATTTTTTGCACACTTGGAAAAATGTCTATTTTGAACATTTATTATTTCATCAGAAAAAGTAAACACTATTTTCAAACTATCACAGATTTTAAAAAACTGCAGTGCTGACATCCCCTGATTCTCTTTTATCTACATGCTTATTCACTCCTTCAGAGAACTCTGAGATTTCTTAAGCTGCTTGTCTGTTAGCAAAGCCATCGAGCCTTCTGAGCCTGGTGAGTTATGCTTGTGGTCGACTTCATCATACCTGCTTCTAGATTGTGTCACATGGAAGCGAGAGATGCCAGGCTATAATTTTGAGTGGCCCTTCTAGATGTTTTAAATGTTCATTGCCTCAGACAGTGCAGAGTTGTCAGTATTGTTTCTTATTACCAATGGATTATGGCTGAACTTAGTTTATTTTTTTTTAGATGGGGGGAACATGTGTCTGACTTTTCTAATCTCTACAGAGGCTTTGCCATTTCCTTAATCTTACAGTGCTCTAAATCAGCCTTCTCGTAAAGGCAAGGTTTTATCTGAGTAGGAAGGCTGTATATTTGGAACAGCAAGATTTATAAGAGTTTATGTGTGTGTGTGTGTGTGTGTGTGTGTGTTCGTGTTCCTTCCATAGATCAAGAACTTGTCCATACTGTCTGGTACTCTTGAAAAGGACAAATGTCAACGTCTAAAGTGAATCAAGGACAAAAGATAACTTTAGTGAGACTAGCAAGAAGCCATTTGAGTGTGCTGTTTTGAGCATCCATTGGAATTTTCCTGCATTGATGACATAGAATTAGGTGGCCCTCGGTTAGGTTAGTGCACCTCCATAGTTCTTGGAGGACAGAGCTACAAATCAGAGAGATGAGAGTTCTTAAATTCTTAATTCTCATAAGTACAATTTTTATAAAATTTTTTTTATTTAAAAAAATATGAAAAGATTTTTCTACTTCAGAAGCACAAGTTTATAAACGAAAAGCTTTAATGACCAAAATCATATATGCAGATAGGGGACTAAGTTGAAATTCAGCCAGGATAAGTAAAGAGAATTAAATATCTGGCAGTTTGTTAAGGTCTGTATTGACTGAGATGGCAACTTGAAAACTGATATATCCTGGATCTTAAAAAAAGAAGAAAACGTTTTCAGAGAGGAAATGAGGTTTCTGAAGGTGATTGTTTTGCACTTAAAATGCATTTTTTCTGTTCATATTTATTCCCATTTCAAATAATTGACATTTATCTTCAGTTATGTTTTCTCTTCCCAAAACAGAGCCTTTTAAAAAAATAGTGCATATTGTGATACATATTACAAATCCATAGAAAATAAATGGCACGTTTCTTCTGAGTAGGGCTGCATTTCTTTACCGTGATGAGCTATTCCTATAGACTATATCATAAAGGGGACAAATTATTCCCTATTTAAAGTTTGCAGTCCCAAGAATCTCTTACTGACAAAATCCTGATACAGTGTGTGGGAAGGCTGGGGTAGCTAGATGGGCTGGCATCTGTCTCCTTCATGTGGGGATCTCCTAATGAGCAAGCTTCCTTAGATACTTAAAGAGAATGTTTTTGCCCCAGTTTTGATTTACTTGCATTTTGCGGGCAAGACGTCTGTTGTGTGAAATCAAGTACTGGTTAAAAGAATTGAACCCACTTCAACTGACTTTCATATGTGATTTATAATTTCTTATTTGTTTCAGATAATTTAATACTAATTACTGTGCAGATAAATTTAGATAAATACCACTCTCTCCGTCTTTTTTAGTTTAATGTATATTTGTAAGCAGTAGAAACAGTGCAAAAATAAGATCATGAGTTTAAAACTATAAATAAAACAAATTATTACTATTACTCTATTGAAATATGATATAATAAGAAAATATAGTGCATTAGATAATAAGCTGGCATAGTGGAAATTCTGTGACTCATGAAGAGGTACCTTAGCAATTTTGGGTTTTGTTTTGTATAAATAGCTGGAGGCTTACGTTCAAATTCTGCTCCAGTCTGGCAGCTCTCCTCAGCACCTGCTGTATAGCTGGCCGACGCTGGGAGCTCGCTGTGTGGTTTGTCCCTTCTGCCTTGGTCAGTGTACCCTCCACAAAGTTTCATGCTCCTTGGTGACTGAGGAGCAGGAGTTCTGAGGAATAAACAGCTCTGCCCCTCATTGTGTGTGCCTGCTCTCTCTAGAATGAGGTCTGCAGCTCCCCACAGATGGGCCCCGAGAGAGGCTGCTTTTTGTTTATGCTTATATGCTCGCTCGGAGCCCGTCCTGTGGTCCCTAGTGCCTTGGGTAGGGAATGGATGGGAGGCCTGTGTTTTGTGGTGGTGTTTTAATCGGAGGGCTTGTTTTCTTAGCAAATGGCAGTTATATTTCATGGGCCTGCCAAAGTGATTGGCAGCTTGTGGAGTAGATGGGGCTTCTGGAGTCAGCCGACCCGGGTTTTAATCTGTCACATAATAGCTTTGTGACCTTGGGCAAGCTACTTAACTTTTCTGACTTTCAATTTCCTCATTTATAGATTGAAATAATAGTTCCTAGCTCACCTAGTTTTTGTGAGGATTCAAATAAGAAGAATGTAAAATTCCTGTTAGTGAACTCTTAAAAACAAACAACGTGGCGATGGTTGAGAATCACCACTTCACAGACTCAGAGCCCCAGATAGTGCAGGTTGGATGACACACCGTTTGCTTAAGACCTGAAATGACACTGTGGCCCTGCAGGGTCCGCTCAGCGGCTGACGCCACTAGACTTAACCACGACGCACAGGTGCTGGGGAGCAGTTACGGGGATTCCGGTCCCTTCAGCGTGGCCATTGCGCAAGCGGTGCCCCTTGAATACGCAGTGTGCCTTAAGCAGATGGGGGTAGGACCACTGGGGGGTCGGGGGTGGGGGCAGTTGCAAGACACCGACTTGCTTTTAGGAGTTTTGCTATAAATTCTCTGTTCAGGATTTAGGGCTTGTTACTTAAAGAATTCTTTTATTCTAGGTTTTTCCTTATGTGATATTTCTTTTCTCCTTCGTCTGTGGACTTTTAAATTTTGTCTTGTTCCTTTATTGTTAGAAAAGCAAAAAATATTTGCTGAATGAAAAGATAAATTTAGGTAAATGCACGGGGGGAAGAAAAGCAATATAAATTCTTCACCCCATTCTAATGTAAGACTTAGAAAACTTACAAGGTATTACCTATAAAAGAGTTTTATATGCTGTTTTCCATTGCTTTTTGATCATCATTTGGATCTTTTGAAACTAGCATTTATAATTTCTGAGCTCGGAGGGCACCTCAAGATCCTTTCCACCCATTCACTGCCTCCAGGCAAGAGAACAGCTTAACCAAGCCAAACCCATGATTTCCCTCCCATTCTTAAAAGCTTTCTAAGGCAGTGTATTATATAGGTAAAATAAACAAGAACTATTGATATCATTTCAAAATAAGTGAAAATGTTGCCTGTGGACATTTGACTGAAGAAAGGAAACGACAGTGTAAAATTGCTTTGAGATTTTAAGGATTGCTTTTGCCAAATGGTGGATGATGTGTTAACCGTTTTAGGCAGTGCTTTTACACATTTTAGCACATGGTTAGTTATCTTCTGACTCAGGCAACTGGATCAGCCCTATTTCCAAAATAAGCTAAACGTGTGTAAGTAAACTTTGCTGCAACTGAAATTTTGTGTTAGTTCCATTTACAGGCTAGTATTTTTTTTTAATTTGTATCTGCTCACATTAATTGCTGAGGTTTATGCCATTCTATCGTAGTACTAGTACTAAGAAATCTTTCTTTTAAGGATTCCCTGTTGACTTTTTCATTACATTTCTATAGCCAAATCAAGTCAAATTCATGTTCACAAGTATGTCCAAGGAAATTAAGAACTGGTGCATGAAAAGATAGGAGAACAGTTCCAAATCCTAGCAGTATCAAAGCAAGTTTACAACACAGGCAAATGCATTCACTCCTACATTTCTATCTCTTCCTAGGGAGCGACATTTAAAAGGGAGCAAGAGTATGCTTTTCTAAATTGCATTTGAATAATTTTTTAAATGTCCCTTTATTTCCCTTTAGCTTGCTGATGACCGTATGGCTCTGGTATCAGGCATTAGCTTAGATCCAGAAGCAGCAATTGGCGTGACAAAACGATCACCTCCTAAGTGGGTGGATGGAGTGGATGAAGTAAGTTGAATGTTAGTTTCACACTATCTTATTTCTTTAATTATGACATTAAAATATTTTAAGATCTCTGTCATTAAATCTGATTTGGCTACAGGTAAATGCTTGTGCCTGGAAATACTTTAGGTTTCTGCAGTTTACATACCACAAGAAAGGGTCTGTGTGTGTGTGTGTGTGTGTGTGTGTGTGTGTGTGTTAATGATTTGGGCTTTAGTAATAACTTCCTGAATTATAGAAGTGGAAGAACTGTATATAAGAAAGAGGAATGGTGTTTGAATTTCTGGTAATTTGAATTAGAAGTTGCTCCTGCGTCAGTGAGCCTACAAGTTGTCTGAAGACTGAGCTCTGTATTCTGAGTGCAGCTTATTGTCTCAGAGGCAGACAGGTGGCTGACAGGCGTCAGTGGAGTATTGGTGATTTCATTTGTTTAGATACAGTACGATGTTGGCCGAATTAAGCAGAAGATGAAGGAATTAGCTAGCCTTCATGACCAACATTTGAACAGACCCACCCTGGACGACAGCAGTGAGCAGGAGCACGCCATTGAAATAACCACCCAAGAGATCACTCAGGTGAGGATGGAAGTGGATCCCCAGGTGGGAACGGGCATTTCCCAGCCTTCTGACGACTCTCTCAGAAGCTGGAACATGGTACAACTCCAAATCAGACTACAAGTCAGTTTCCTAGAGTTCCGCTTCCCAACCCAAAGTTCACAAAGGGGCTTCAGGAGGCCCTGAGCTTCTCCACTTCTCAGCGTGTGTACACAATGTCCTGGAGGAGTGGAGCTATTTTTCAGTTGTTGATAGACTCTACTGTGGATTGATTTACAAATTAAATTTCAGAGCATTACTGAGTTCAACCATTCAATTTTAAAATGTATAACTTCTATTGTGTACTAGTGCTTAAAATGTTTTCATGTTAAAAATGGTGCCCCTAATTGAAAAGACTGAGCGCTATTGCCCTGGACTGAGTATATTAGTTTCCTAGAGAAACTTAGTATCCTAGAAAAATTTCTTGTAAAGTGTTGAATTTGAGTAATTTTTAGATAATACGGTGTTTAAACTTTCATGATTACATTTTTTTATTTGTTTAAATCTCCTGGGTGCTAATGATCCAAGGAGGAGTGTGGTGCTGTGGGAAAAGCACTGGGGTGTTGGAATCTTTGAATCCTGGCTCTTAGCAGTGTAACAGCGGCATGATTCTCATTTAATCCTTCTGACTCCAGTGTTCTTGTGTATAAAATGGGAATAATCCTAATAGTAACACCTGGCTCATCGAGTGGTTGTAGGGATTAAATGAGAAGAATGCAGTAATAGAGTGATGCGTGGTAACACAGCCTAAGGACATGTGTGTAGTGCCTAGCACACAGCACGCACGTAGACAACGTTTGTTCACATTATGTTCAGTCTTTCTACATGTGTAAATTAAGCCTCAGGTTACTTTTATCTGTTCACATCTCTCCATGCTGGCCTGTATGAGCAGAGCGTGTTATTTATGTCTCCCTCAGACTTGAGTGTAGAGGCCTTAGCACTTCAGGGCTCTCTCCCGGCTTGCTGTGAGCCGTGGGCTTGTTCCCCCAGCTCTTCCACAGATGCCAGCGTGCGGTGCAGGCTCTGCCCAGCCGGGCCCGCAGGGCCTGCTCGGAGCAGGAGGAGCGGCTCCTTCGCAACGTGGTGGCCTCCCTGGCGCAGGCTCTGCAGGAGCTGTCCACCAGTTTCCGGCGCGCACAGTCAGGCTACCTCAAACGTGAGTGTTGCCCGGGCGACAGAAGGGATTGTGAGGGATAAGAGTTCCAGTGCCAGAACCACAGAACTACTCTTTGTTTTCATCTTTCTTTTTTGCTACTAGTTCTCCTTTTTGTTCTCTACCTTTCTTTGTTAGCTTTTGAGTCCATTCATACCTTCTACAACAAAAGGAAGCCCCCTCCTGCGAAGCTGTGCCTGGACTGAGGCTGAGGACCAGGTGTCAAAATAGTCCACATCTAAGAACATAAAACTTACCCTGCACCAAGCTTGAAGAGGTTGAAAATCAATCTAGCACATTTGAGAACTTGCAGATTTCTAGATGTTGAGGTGTGGGGAGCTGCTAATAAATAGGTAAAAAACAGCCATAATCACAAAGCTCCTGATTTGGTGTTTGCGTAACAACTGAAGTATTTGAGGGTGCCTGAGAACCTGTCCTTGGAACAGTTTAACACTTTCCCTGCTGGCACAGTGATTTCCTCAGCCTACCCTTTCTTCCTAAATAGTGCCAATCGGGTTCCAGCTACATCCTCATTCTAATTATCCTGTAGACTGGTTTTTTCTTTATTGCCAGTATAATCAATAATATCCCCTCATACTCCGAAAAAAACTACTACTCCCTTCCTCTGACAACTAGCATATTTGTATTTTAATTTTATTACTTCTAAAATTTGATTAGGGCCATTTGGAATTCTTACTGGAGATGCTTCTAGAGAGAAATATTGATTTTTTTTTAATGTTTTGTAACAGCAGTTAGATTAAATATTTCTGCTTCACTTAGAGATTCTCAGATGGTTGTAAGTGTCATTTTATCATTCACTTGGCATCAAGTGAATTGTACACATTTACAGTGTGCTGTTTGTCTTGAATAACTCCAAATGCTTGCATATTGTGTGTTTATAATCCTTTACTCTCCCCCCACGTCTCTTGGAGATAGGCTTCCTTTAAAGCTGCTAAGAATATCTCCATTTTGATTGTTGAGTTTTGCTCTAGATTTCCCCTTTTTAATGGTGGAACAGTAACCAGGATGGTTTACATATTCGAGTAAAGTGAATTCCTATCTATGATAGGCATGAAGAATCGAGAGGAAAGATCCCAGCATTTTTTTGATACATCAGTACCACTAATGGATGATGGAGACGATAATACTCTTTATGATCGGGTACGTGAAGGGGCTGACAGTTGACTGGTGTACATTTGCCCTCCTCTGTTTCCTTCTCTTCATAGACCTCTAGCTTCCATGCAATCCAGGTGGATCCGTGCTGGTTGACTTGTACATCATCAAGTAGTTTTTGCAACATGTGGAAGAACAGTCATGGGGCCATACTTTCTTCCTTTCCAAAGGCTACTGGGAGACCCTGTGATTTGCCTTCCAGAACCTTAAGGGAGGCAATCTGCACACCCCATTCTTGGGAGGAACCCAGAGAAGCACAGGGTTGTTCCCCCTGGTTTTGCTAATCAGTCTTCCGTGGCTGCAGACGTGGGGTGCTCTCTGTGCCCCCTGCTTTGGCCAAGAGGGCTCCAAATTTGGGAATTTGGATCTTTCCTGCTAGGGAAAAATAAGTGCTTATATGTTGTTTAGAGGCTTTACAGAAATATTTTCAGAATTCATTTTCTTTAAATTTTATCTAAAATGGTACACCATAGCTTTCTTGAGGGGGGAAAAACCTAACATTCAAATTCTGTATTTTTTTGTTTTGCTAGGGTTTTACAGATGACCAGTTAGTGCTGGTGGAGCAGAATACACTGATGGTGGAAGAGAGGGAGCGGGAGATTCGCCAGATCGTACAGTCTATTTCTGACCTCAATGAAATTTTCAGAGACTTAGGAGCAATGATTGTAGAACAGGTACGTGAGTTTGCCTCCTCCTCAGTGATATTCCTGCCTAGATATCTAGTCCTTCTCCAAACTTCTTTGATTCTGCACTCCTGTCAGGAAAAAAATTTGAACCTACTCCCCCAATGTATGTATGTGTATGTGTGCTTGTATGCACACACGTAGATAGATATATATGTATGTGTGTATGTACAAATGATAGACATCTACTACAGTCACTCCCTGTAAAGCTACTAATAAATGTTTTGTTTCAGATAAAAAATAAATGTCACTAGAGGTTCTCATATTCTTTGCCTGTAGTCCAGGGGTACTCACGAGAGCTCCCTGCTCTGGAGGTCTGGTTGGTTCTGCCTGTGCTTAGTGATTCTGGCAATAGATAAGGTTCCCCTTCGAATTGGGGCAGGTTATTGTGTAATGACGACTGGAACCGCTAGCTTTCAAGCAGAATTCAATTGTTTGTTCACTGTTACAATCTGATTAGGGTATTTTATTATCTTGCCAGCAGGGGTTTGGGTCCTGATCCCCCTGGAACCAGCTGCAGGATGGAGTGTTGAGGCTGTGGAAGACCAGTTACGTTAATTACTCCCACGGTTCCTGGGGAACTGCTCTTGCTATCTCTTCTAACACAGTGTGTTTCCGTTAAGAGCCCTGTTCCTCCGCATAGCCCAGTGTTCCCTTCTTTCTGTTTGAAACAAGAGATTAAACAATTAAAAACAAAATTCTCCTCGAGGCACATGTGTAGTTTTACAGGGTGGATCGCAACTTACCGTCATCGCTCTCACCCAGGGAGACCTGTGTTGACGTTTATAGATAGGATAGTCAATTTCCAGGACTAACCGTAACCAGGTCTAGTTTAACTGGCGTTCTCGGCTTACTTGTATCCCAGTATTTAAGCAGCAAGTGGGCACAGAAGCTACCCCTTCACCACTCAGAGCCTGTTTTCACTGAACTGTATATTTTTTAAAGCCCCAGTAAGGTTGAAATGGCATATCCTATAGTGTCTAAATCCAAAGAGGAAATCTCAGTTTGTCAGTATTTCTTTCTCATGAGCTAGACTTTATTGCAACTAACACAGCACTCTGCCATTGAGTGCCTGATACTGCTTGATGATGGATTCCAGAGCTTTCAGTGTGTACCTTTACAACACAGTTAAGTGAAACAGATAATCCTGTGGATAATGGTGCCTGCAATTTGCATATCTCATTTTTGAAGTTCAGTTTTCCCAGTTGTGGTTGTTGATCATCTCTGTCATTTCTTGCTCAGGGTACAGTCCTTGATAGAATTGACTATAATGTTGAACAGTCCTGTATCAAAACTGAAGATGGCTTGAAACAGCTTCACAAGGTAATATCATATCTTTCACTAGTTGAGAATTTGAGGAACTGTTATCAAATATCAAGAATTCATAAGAGGATTCTCTTCCATCATAACTGTCTTCAGCACTCTTGTCTATCTCGACTCTCAATATAGTAGTGTAAAAATGCACAATATCGTTTTATTCAAAACTGACCACATGGCTTGTTGCCATTTTAGGCACCTCACACTTAGATTTGAAATTGCTGAGAACCCCTTCTGTGATGGCAAATTCTAAGTGAATTGGGGTTTTCTTACTTTTAGAAAATATTTCATCTTTTGAGTCTTCTTGTTTTAGGAAATCAATTGAATGGGCATTTGCTAAAATATGTGTTGAACATTCTCTCTGTTGCTCCTGACTCAGGCCTCTCTTGTTGTGGCACATTTCTGATGAGTTGCTGGTAGAGAATTTTCTGGAGAAGATAAAAATCTAATTTTCCCTTTTAATTACCACTTGTCTGTGTATCTGTGTACTACCTTGAGAAAAGACTGGTTATTGAAGTGAGAATATTAGCTCTCTTATTCTTTGCTAATAAGGTTGCTGTTTCAGGAATATTTTTCATATTTGTTAAAAATAAATGGAAAGCATCTTAGAAATCTTGTAATCAGTCATGAGAAACATATACATTATGCTGCTGAATGGCTCTTGTATATAATTGGGTGCATATTTTCTTTAAAGGGAATATAATACTTCACAAATAAAATAAATTCCATCCATTTCCTGTATCTTTGAGACCCAATGGTATTTCTAGCCATATAATGAGCATTTTTCTGACTCACTAATGTACTACTCTCTCATTTTTCTGAAACTAGTCACTTCCTTTAGCAGAGATGGCCCCATCTAATAGTAGTCTCAGGTTTACAGAAGTGAGAACTTGCACAGGTCTGACGAGAAACCCTTCACTTTCTCTTACATGTGCTTGTTGCAACGTGCGGGGTCAGAATGAGACTCTAGCATATGAGAAAGAAAAGGTTTGCCTTGTGCATACAGAGGGCTGTGTAAGCACTAAGATTCATTTGGTTGCCAAGCCTTGTATATTAAAAAGAGTGAAAACTAACTTTAGTTTCTCACTCTGTAATACCCAGGTTTTGATATGCTGTTGAATTATGCATTGGTTTTGAAGTTTCTTAAATAAAAACTAGTAAAACATGTTTTGTAATATAACACAGATAAAGGGAAAAGCTTTTTCCATGGGAGTGTACAAATCTAGTGGGAACTAAAAATTTTGTTTTAGGTTCTACTTTATAAATCATTTTGAGAGGTTTTAAAGTGTATCATTTAGTATTGGCTTCCCTGGTGTCTGAATTACTTATTAGGAAAGTAAGCATGCTCCGTCTCATCTCCCAAGTCCTGCTGCTGTCGGCAGCACGGCTGGCTGTTTCCTTGGCAGGCAGCTCATCTGAGGATGTCTGAGCCTTGGGAGTTGCTTCACACAGGCCGGACTCTCCAGATGGGTTAACCAGTCTGTCCTGATGTTTCCTTTCGGTTGATGAGTGGCTCCTGGTGGGTGGGTAGTTTCACTTAGGAAGCAAAACTACCAGTCAGAAGGTTGGTGGTGAACGTGGAAGTAGAACAAAAGAGATTGGCTGTCCTTAGCAGGTATATCCATTAAGCTGTCTCCCGTCCTTCACTGTGAAATCGCACCCCAGAAAAGGGCAGGCTGTGCCCTCCTTTGATGTGGCTAGAGCCGCCGCACAACTCCCTTCCCACTCTCCTTTCTCTGGCCGTGTTTCTGCATGACAGGCATGGTATAACTCAGGATGCTGCTCCTGGGCTGCCAGGCTGATGTTGACCCGTGAACCTGGGGAAGCTGTCAAGCTTTTGGAAGCTCCTCCCTGTTGTGTCATCAGAAGCACAGGGAGAGCTTACCTCAGGTGGATTCTTTCTGCACTTGACACCCATGGGGTGCACTTTCCCATTTTTATTTCAGAGGATGAATTTTGTGTTGTTTCCAAATTCAGGGGAGGCAGAAAACAAGCTTATTTGGGGCCATCAGTTCCATACATACTGACTGTAGTAAGTTTAGCCAGTTGTTTGATTTCATAGTGAAGGAGGTGTGTGTTCACCCAAGGAACTATGTCCAGAAATGAGAGCTTTCCTAGAAGGAGGGGGTCATTACGGTCAGTGGAAGTAGAAGTAAGGAGAAGCAGATCCATCTGGACCTGAAAGCAGCATCTTTGACTTCTCCCTCCAGCCTTCATCTTATGGTAGACCCCAAACACGTGCCTGAGCGAAGACGGGATAAATAGGCAGTTCCAGGATCATGGAATGCTTCCCCTCATGTTGATTGAATTCACCTGAATTGATGGAAGGGATTACAGTGTAGCCTGTAGCAGAGATGTGAGTTATGCAGATGGAGCTGGAAGCCTAGAACTAGAAACGAGTGAGACTTGATTTTGGACTTTTGGGAAATTGACTGCTTTTTTTTCCCTCCTCTTTCTGTAGGCAGAGCAGTATCAAAAGAAGAATCGGAAGATGCTTGTGATTTTAATATTATTTGTCATCATCATTGTCCTCATTGTTGTCCTTGTCAGCGTGAAGTCTCACTAAGCAGCGTTGGGTCTGTGTGTGCGGCACGTGTGGATTCCCAGGTGTGAGGGGCTTGGCCGCGCTCCGCGGGCTGCCTGCAGAGGTGCAGCCCCACGGATCTGCGTCAGGGCGGCGAGCGTTTCCATGGACTCCTCGTCAAACAGTCATGCTCGAGCAAGGGCAGTGGGCTTCTGTTTTTCTTTCATTGTCAAGAATTTAAGAACCTTTGGTACTGCTGCAGAATAGAGATTGAGTTCTGTCATCAGTTATATATTTTTTTAGAAAGAGAAAATGAATTGAACGTTTACAGGCACTCCGCAAGCTGTTCAATATTATGTGTGTATATGCTATTTTTTTAGCAGTCATGTCTGAGCAGCATGTTAAAATAATTTTTGGAAAAAATTTTTTTAAAACCATCTGGTTTTTAAGAAATTTGGTACCAAAAATTTATGAGTAGAGGCAAAAATGCCTCTTCATCTTTCTCTATATATTTTCCAGTTGAAAACAAACTGAGAAGTCCTTTAAGAATTTATAATCCATTCCCCATTAACTTAATTTAGCTTTTCCATCACTGTTAATGATCAGAGTAACAAAGTGTGAAAAATAAGAAACCATCATTGATGTTAATTAACACATTTAGATGGGCCAGTTAAAACAGCTTCATAAGTTTAAATTAATGGTAAATGGAGTATTCCTCATCTAAAGTGTGTGCACTCCATTTTCTACTGTCAACCAAAAGGGTTACAGAGCAAAGCCACCTAAATTTAAAAGTTGGTGATTTGAACTAACCTCACATTAAAGGGAAACTTAGCAGCGTCATGAGAGTCACCAGAATCAGCCGGTGTGTCCCTGTGCTCGTCCCCAGCCATCCTTGCTCAATCCATTCCTTATATACTAACTACATAATGACCTGTTCAAACCAGACACCATTTAATGAACTGTGAATTTACACAGAGGCCATTCTAAATGGGTCACCCCATTTAGAACTAGTGGCTCTCAAATTATTAACCAAACATCACTCCATTTCAAGGTAAAATATTCCACCAGTGGTTTGATTTATTGGCTCTTACATTGCCACTTAACATGCCCAGAAAGTAGGCATATTCCTGCGGATTGTGAAAATCTTGACTAGGAAATCCCTCACTTGTGTGAGCGTGAATCAGATTGCCAAAGTAGGACTTTGTCGTTTACTTACCTGGTATCAATATGGTGCTCGAATATATTCCTGAAACTAGAATAATGTGGAAAGTGATGATAACTTTGAAAAACTGGAGTTGTTCATGTTTTAGTTGGTCTTGGGACACCAGTATAGTTTTAATGATCTTTGTATAATTTTAGGTGGCTTTTCCATTGTTTTTACCTCTCTTAAAAAGTTTAAGAAGAGCATGACCTCATTAAATGTGCTACATTTTATTTGGACCAGTCACATAAAATGTCTCTCTAGAATTGACTTTGAAGTTGTTTCCAGAAATTTAAACTCAAGTCCAGAGATTCATGTCGTCCAAATAGAGCACAGGCTTAATACCCAAACCCCTGCCCCACCCTTCCCTTCCCAGGTTGTTTATAACACCAGGCAGCCACTGGTTTTCTTATTACTGATGTGGCTATTGAATGATCTCAAGGTGTCCCTGGCATTTGAGGAAATAGCCTGGTGTTCCCTGACAAACAATTATTTATTAGGAAAGAAGGTCAGGGAGTAAGAATCCAGCACCTCTTTGATCACCCCTGAAATGTGGGGCTTTTACAGATCTTGAGAGTAGCTGTAGGTGTCCGTTAGTCCCAGCAGATTTTAACTCAATGGTGAAGTTGAGATGTCCTGTTAGACCAGCTCCTCCTAAGAGTGGGGCTGTTCACATCCTGGGGCTTCCCTCCCAGGTGGTCTACGATGGTGATGCTGGAGTATTGTTAAAGCTTTTAAATGCTGAGTCTTAGCAACCCTTGAAGGAAAGTGACCCTTTAAGAAGGATCACCATTTATTTATATTTATTTCCAGTGAATAGGGTGATTTAGGGTTGGTTTTTATCCCCCCAACCCATTTGGGTAAGATAATGGATCTGATTAGAAATGGTTTTAAGGATCTCATGTGGGGATGGGGCAACAGTCCCATTCTGACTGAAACCAGCGCAGTGCCAGCTAAAGCCCCAGCTGTCCACTGTCATAACCGTGTCCCAAGGCAGGAAGTGGCCCCAGAGCCTGTGTGCTAACTTGCTGGGCTCCTCAAAACACTGTCTTTTTCTGTTGAGCCTTTATGTGGGGAAAGATCAGCAGCATTGGGAGAAGTAAGAAAAAGTTAGTAATCGTGTCCTTGTACCTTGGGGTAGTTTCTTCCCTCTGAAGGAGACAGGCTTGTTTTCCTGCCCACAGCTGTTGTCTGCGGGAAGGCTGTGCCAGCCCCTCCGTCTCTGTTGGGCTCTGGTGGTGAAGATCACCCAGTCCAGTCTCTCTGCTTGCCTGGGATGTGCCCTGAGGAGAGGACGAGCAGGCAAGGCTCCTTCTGGGCACCTGCCCCCTTGAATGCATCCTGGGATGGGTGACTCCGTTGAGCAGGGCCAGAGAGGAGAAGTGCAAATGTTTACTGTCAGGTCTCCAAGGCTCCTGGTCTTTCCCGAGATTGTAGCTGAAATCTACTGTCTCTTGTTTTATTAATTTGGGGGTGTGGGGGTTCAGGCTTCGCCATGGGCGTGAAGCAGTGTATGTCTCTAATTTAACGGATTTATGGCTTTCTCTGCTAATTGAGAGAGCATTATTTATTTGTTTTGACACAAGTGCTTTCAGTGTTTTATCCTAGCTAATGGCTTCGTAAAGGTAATAAAACCCTTCCAACCTAATTGGTCAGATAAGATTTTTTTCTTGTGTGCTTAAATAAAGCAATTAGTGAAGCGCTTCTATCCAAAATGACTTTTTTTGTCCTTTTTTAAAACTAATTTACTGTTACTGGAAACTTTTTATACAATAAAGCAATCGTGCAGATTAAAGAACAACCTGCAATCCTAGTATTAATTTGAACGATGGGGTTCATGTTTTCTTCAAATGCATCTGTGTTAGGGGAGGGCCCATCTGTGATGAGTCTGGCCAATGGCTGTTTGTTTTGTGCCTGAGGCCTTTGCTTCAGTGTCTGTAAGTCCATCTGTCTATCTAATGGACACTTTCAAAGGGACCAATCTGTTTGCTATCCAATACACAAAAAGAGAAATTGCCTAAAAGGCAGATAATTATTTTTTTATGACAATGTATACTTTATATAGATACCGAGAAACATTTGGAGATCTTGAGATAAAATTGTAGTATGTGTGCCTTGTTACACACAGACTCCAGGAGATTTGAATTTCTAGGTGACTTTGAATGTTTCCTATCCTCTTACAGCAAAAACTTCAGGGATAGTGTTTGCCAGTTGAACTCAAAGGCAGGACTATATTTCTCCCCAAATGTGTCTGTGCCCTGGCTCTTCCTCAAAGGCTGGGGAGGAGCATTAACTTTCACCCGTGTATGCCCAGTGGGAGATGTCATCAAGGCACGTTGGGGCTATGTCTCTTTTTAGTTAAACACCAGAGTCTGTGCATACATAGGAGCTGTCTTTCCAAGTAGTCACCTTGGCAAGCTAGGCATTTAGTCCTGTGATGCTGGTGTTGTTATGGCAATTAATTACCTCCAGAGCCTATTGATGAACCACACAAAAGAAGCAACTCTTCTTTTTTTTTTTGAGGAAGGTTAGCCTTGAGCTAACTGCTGCCAATCCTCCTCTTTTTTCCTAGGAAGACTGGCCCTGAGCTAACATCCGTGCCCATCTTTCTCTATTTTATATGTGGGACGCCTACCACAGCATGGTGTGTCAAGTGGTGCCATGTCCGCACCCAGGATCAGAACCAGTGATCCCTGGGCCGCCAAAGTGGAACGTGTGCACTTAACCGCTGTGGCACTGGGCCGGCCCCAGAAGCAACTCTTCTTACTGTGCTCTCACCTTATTTTTTGACTAGAAATTACATACCCCCAACTTACTCATCAGCCATTGGCTCTGTCCAAGAATCAAATCCATCCTCAAAGGATAGACGTTTACCATAGGCTTCGAGAACATTCTGACCAGTGATAAATACATTGAAGAAGTTCTCCATCCTGATGCGGACTGCCATAACAGTGGCAACATGTGTGAATGTGTAGGCTCTGCAGGGTGTGTGAACTTCGTGAGTGGTGACCTCATGGGTCATGGTTCCAAGTAAGTTTTTGGTGGCTCACTCTTGAAATCATGCTACAATCGGAAACATCGCCTGTTGAGCAGAGAGCTGTGAAGGCTCAGGTCCTGGCCCTCAGGTGTGACTTGCCTAGAGGCATCGGAAGTATGGACCATTGGGTGGCTCCTTTTGAATGCCCACGTGGACTGTAGGAGAACAGGCTGGATGTAGATTTACCCTGCTAAATTTCATGAACCTCCTTTAAGAACTCTGATCATAATCCCAAACTTGAGCAACCTAGAATTCTTTCCGTTCTGTCTGTTGTTGTGTAGCCACAGCAAAACAACTTACCTAGCTTAGCATGATTTGTATCTAATAAGATAGCGTGGTGTTCTCCACGTGGGCTTAATTGTGATCGTTAGGATCCCTTATTCTAGGCAAGACATCTAGGGAACCATATGGAGAGACCCAGCTAATATCTTCACAGAAGGGACGAGCGTTAGTTGGCTGTAGGGAGGAGAGGACAGCACTTCAGTGTTGTTGCTTCTTTGATTAGTGGTTGTAAGTTTCCATTTCTTCTCAGATTTAGGTAGGCAGACTTGGTTCATTGGATGTTAGCTACCTTTTGAAACTTAGCGCTGTGCATACTTACAAATATGGGTCTTGAACTGTATATCTCTGTGTGTTAGCCCTTAAAAACTCCTGATTTTCTCTCTCCAAATTCCCTTGACCACCCAGGTGCCACCACTAACCATGTTGCCTGATGTTTCTGTTTATTTTTGTTTTGAAATCAAGGGAAAACAACCCCCTTCAAAATCATGGGTATTAGAGTGAACTAATGAGGGCGCTCACTGGTGGGCGTGCAGAGACTTTCCGCTCGTCTGAAAGGGCCTCGGATTGGGGGCATGGAGTTAGACAATGGGCATCAGCTGTGTGATGTGTGCGTCTTGTCCCTGATTCCACGCCATCCTCCTCATCATTCTCCCAGTCTATGGCTGGGTCTCCTTACAACACAAAGGGACATTCCACAGAGTCAAATGGCAGAGACTTGTGGACAATTATCTGGTCAATTGAGGCAAAAGAAGATAATCCTTCATCCAATTGTCCGAATTAGTTCCCCAGGACTGTCCTGAAGGCTCAGGATAGTTGTGCGGGCTTCCACTTCAGCTCTGCGATCTGGCTAAAATGCACTATTTAGATGAGACTCTATTCAGCACAATGTACGTTTAAATTGGGCTTAGTTAAAACAGACCACTGGGTTTAGCCTTTTTCTGTTTGCCAACTATTCTTCTAGAATTGCTTTTAGCTAATCATCCAAATTCCGCCATTAGTAATCACTCTTTCTTTCATTTTATAGATGTCCTAATGGAGGCAAAAGGGCTCTGGGTTGCATCATTTGGTCTCTTTCTCGGAAGAAATGCTGAGGAAATGTTTTTTAACTTGGTGTTCTGACTCAGGACACCATAATAGACCTCCCTTTCCATCAACTGTTGGGGAAAGAGAGCACCTTCTCCCCCAAGCCAAACCTCCCCCTTTTCCAGATGGGGAAAGTGAGACCCACAAGAGGGCTTGCTGGGGTCTCTCGACTGATAGAACCCAGGGCTGGAGCTGAAATCTTCACCTTTCTAATTTCCAGACCACTGCTGTTTCTGCTTGTGCCACTTTAATTGTTCATTTCTTTCCATAAAATTAAGCGACCTTCCTCCAGAAAGATTTAATGGTCAAGATGTGATTTGGTAAAAGCTTCCTCAAGGATTTTTCTTCTTATTACAAGGATTAGACCAGACTGAGGCTAAGAGAGATTTGCAAACAGTGGTATGTCATTATCCCTAGTTCAGTTTTTCGTGTAATTGGTGTGAAGAGATTGCTGCTGATGACTAAGCCTGCCACTGAGCAGAGAATAATGATGCTTTTGCTCCATGACTTGGCGTGCATACATGTATATTTATGGTTGTTTATAAAAGGTATATATATACATAAAACGTTTACCAAGATGGAGAATGTCATTTTAAAATTATAAATAATAAAAAACAGTCTTGAGCAAAACTGATTTTACAACTGCCTAAGAACGCAGCACTTCATTTCCACACTATGCAATGGTGAGAAATTGATGTTTTTTTAAATCCAATTAAGCCTCAAGGTTGGTTATCCATTTAAAAGGTCGGCTGAGTTAAACAATGCCAGTACCTTCAGTTCATGCTAATAATTAAATTTACTAGGAACTTCAGTGCTTGCCTCGCGCCTCGTGGAGGCACACGTCGTGTGCTTTTGCATAACATTGCATTGCAGAAGTTCCCAGCACAGTGCACTCACACAAGCAGATCATGAACCCTGGCTTGGTAAGTCCCCGAGCTGGCCACCATCCCGCTCACTCCTTCCCCTCCGATTCCCACAGTCCGCCCTGGAGAGGACTGGTCCTGAGAGACACATGTTTCCTGCTCATCTCCCATCCTCTCTTTTCTGTGGCCCCAAGAGTATTGGGAAATGGAAAGTAGCCTCTCATTTAAATTTTTAAAAAAGAGGGAAGTCTTGCTGTGTACTCTACTTGGTTTCATGTGCTGCCGAGTTTATAATGTAAAAAATAAATCATGTTTTAAAAATGGTACTTTATAGTGCATATTTACTACGCGTTCCCAATGTGTTAAGAAAAAGATTTCAAAATGTCTTTTTATGGTTCTCGTAGGTAATGCTTAAGTATTACTGAATTTATGAAGATGTTAGGAGAACCGCAGACCTGATTGGAATGCTTTTTACTCTGTTTGGGTTATAACGTCACTCAAGTTTGTAAATCATTGAGAAGGGATAAGTGATCTTATTTCAAATCTAGCATTTTAACCTGCATTGTAACATAAGTAAGGTTGCTCCAGATTGAGTGAGAAAAAAATACTGAATTTCCTTCTCCTGGCTCTTAAAAAAACTAACAATTTCTGGTTAGTTGTTCCTTCCCCCACCCTTTCCTCACATTGCTCAGCTGCCAAGGTCCTCGGCAGCAGATTTATGATTCTTTTTTACTTTTTAAAAGATCCACATTTAGATAGTACAGATAGACGTGTTACTTTACACAAGGGTGTTTCTGGAAAAAATGTGACTCAGGTTTTGAAGATTGAATCATTTTCAATGCACTGGAGAAACATACTACTTAAAAGGATCCCAATAGCTGAAGGTTTTCTTGAAGAAAAGATTTCTTGAGCAAAATAAAACTTACCCTCATTTTGTTTTTCCATACATCTCCATTTTCATATGCTAAATTTGCTTCAAGGAATGTGGAACCACATTCGGTCTGTTAATTATTTCTCTTTTCCTTTCAGCAGCCACCTCATCCCCAGGCTCCAGGTCTTCAATATGCCCTTGAAAATTTTTGCAGCTACAAAAATAAGTTTGCTGGTGTTCTGAAGTAAACAGGAATTTAGTTCCCGAGACATGAGGGTTATTACTATCTGACACTGTACCCTTCCTGGGAGAATAATTTAGGCGGTGAGAACAGCAAGGAACCTGCAAGAGCTCCTCGTTCAGCCCCCTCATTTTATTGAGAAGTCCTAAAAACTGATGTCAGAAGGAACGATTTTTGTTGTTAATAAATGATTCCACTAGTACATTTTTATTAACACATTCTCTCATCCCACTGATATCGGAAGGTAAAAACACAGTGCTTTAGATAGCACAAAATGTGCTTTTTAGGCAAAGTGCAAAAGATTACATGCAATACGCTATCTTTTGTGTAAGATCTATGAATATATATAATCTTGTATTTTTTTCCCCAAAATGAACAGGAAAGATAAACACAAAACTAATAAAAATGATTCCCTATGGGAAGA